TTTTATGTTTTTTATATTCTGGGTAAGGCATAAGACTAAAAATGTTTGTCCAATAAAAATGTCAGGCCGATAATTCCAGTCTGATCTCACAAGAAAACGTAAGTATTTTACGTTTTGCCAGTTTAGTGGCTAATTCGTATGAATTCGTACGAGTTCAGTTGTACGATAGTGTACGATTTTAAAAAGGAGGCGTGGCACCTAACCCCACCCCTTACCCCAACTGTCATTGGGCAATAAGAAAATCGTACTAAATTGTACAAATTAGATCATATGAATTCATACGAATTAGTCACTAAATCAAAAAGTTACGAATTGCCGTGAGATTGTGTTGGTATTTTAGTATTTTTTATAAAGATTTAGATTTATTTTGGTTTAAAAAGTAAAAAATGAACACACTTAGGCCCACTGTTGGATGTAATTAGTTTATGTAAATAAATTAGGCTTTCCACTGAAAAAAGTTAAGTAAGGGACTTAACTTTTTTTATTAGAAGACATGGGATCAGCTTTCACTGCTATGCAGATGATACTCAATTATATATTTCAACTAAACCTGACGAGACGTCTGAACTTTCTAAACTAACTAAGTGTATCAAAGACATCAAAGACTGGATGACCAACAATTTTCTTCTCTTAAACTCCAACAAAACAGAATTATTACTTATTGGGCCTAAATCTTGCACACAGCAGATCTCGCAACTCAATTTACAATTAGAGGGATACAAAGTTAGCTTTAGCTCTACTATAAAAGATTTGGGTGTCATATTAGACAGCAATCTAACTTTTGAAAATCATATATCCCATGTCACAAAAACTGCCTTCTTTCATCTGAGAAATATCGCTAAATTACGAAATATGCTATCCATCTCAGATGCAGAAAAGCTAGTCCATGCTTTTATGACTTCGAGACTGGATTACTGTAATGCTCTATTTGCTGGCTGCCCAGCATCCTCTATTAACAGACTTCAATTAGTACAAAATGCAGCAGCCAGAGTTCTGACCAGGTCTAGAAAATATGATCATATAACCCCAATTTTATCCTCCTTACACTGGCTGCCTGTTAGGTTTCGTATTGAATTTAAAATATTACTTCTCACCTATAAAGCTCTAAATAATCTAGCTCCTGTTTATCTAACCAACCTTCTGTCTCGCTACGAACCAACTCGCTCTTTAAGATCTCAAAATTCAGGGCTTCTGGTAGTACCTGGAATAGCAAAATCAAGTAAAGGAGGTCGAGCCTTCTCTTTCATGGCTCCTACACTCTGGAATAGCCTTCCTGATAACGTCCGAGGCTCAGACACACTCTCCCGGTTCAAAACTAGATTAAAGACCTATCTGTTTAGTAAAGCATACACTCAATGCATCACCTAGCGGGTTCCACACAGGCTTCTGCATCTTGCTTATATACACTATGAACAGCAGCTACGCTAATTATTCTCTTTATTCTCTATTTTCACCTGGGGATACTCATCCCGAGGTCCTCAGATTAGGCGGAGTCACTGATTGGATCCAAGACCAGCGACGTGATGATCCCAAGGATTCCATATCCGGGACCAGGCCATATCCTGAGCTGCTGCTGCGCTGATGGTCGTGGGGAGTGGAGAACATGTGTCTGATTCCAGCGACGCTCCAGGGACAGACGAGTCTTCATTGAGGCCATCTTCCAGCATAAACCACGGCGAATGAAGTTCTGCACAAGACTTTGGCCAGCGGAGAAATTAAAATGGTCGTGCCCAACTGAGTCTGGTTCTCTCAAGGTTTTTTTTCTTCACTCCCATCAGGTGAAGTTTTTTTTCCCTCTCCGCTGTCGCCACTGCCTCGCATGGTTCAGGATTGGTAGAGCTACACATCGATGAATTTGCTCTTCAGTGTTTGAACTCTCAGTAATGATTAAATCACACTGAACTGAGCTAAACTGAACTGAACTGAACTTAAACACTAAAACCTGAACCACACTGTTCCAGTTACTATGACCATTTATGTGAAGCTGCTTTGACACAATCTACATTGTAAAAGCGCTGTACAAATAAAGCTGAATTGAATTGAACTTTCCATTTTAAATTATACTTATAAAATACTTACCGTAAAAAATAAATTCAACAGTTCTGCATAAATGAATTTAAAACAGAAGTCAATTTTTATTTATACAAATATATTTTGCAGAATAGATGAATTAAGTAAAGTGTAAATTAAAGACTTAACTAAGTTAGAATATTAATAAAGTTATTGAATAGCTGGTTTGTTCTGTCAAATATATATATATATATATATATATATATATATATATATATATATATATATATACATATATATATATATATGTACTGTATATATTTTTCTTAAGGAGGCTAGTAATACTAACCTTATTTTTTTTTGTTAATTATTAAAATCTACTTTTACTCAAGACAAATAAGGAAGAATCTTATTCTACTTCAGAAAAAAGATTTTTGTTTTTTAGGAAGTACTATACTCTACATGAAATTTCCTCGGTTTGGTAAAGATCACTTGGGAAACGTTGTTTTTTAAATTATTCATTCATTCATTTTCTATTCAGCACAGTCCCTTTATTAATCTGGGGTCGCCACCGCGGAATGAACCGCCAATTTATCCATCATATGTTTTAGGCAGTGCCCTTCCAGCTGCAACCCATAACTAGGAAACCTCCATACACACTCATTCACGAACAATTTTTAGCATAGCCAATTCACCTATACCGCATGTATTTGGACCCAGAGGAAATCCACGCAAACACGGGGAGAACATGCAAACTCCACACAGAAATGCCAATTGACCCAGACGAGGCTCGAACCAGCGGCCTTCTTGCTATGAGGCGAACGTGCTACCCACTGTGCCACCGCATTCTTTTTTTTTTTACTAGCAGGGGGATAAAAAAAGGACCTCAACTGTATTTGTTAAAGTTTACAAGTGCAAAAATGTACCTTGATGTATACTTGAATGTTGAAAATGAATGTGTTATACTATGTTATACTACTATAAAATACAAAGTTACTTGTCAAATAAATTAACATGGAAGATTAATTTGAGTTGAAGTTATTTAATGAGCTTGGTAATGAAGACTGCAGAGTGATGCATGACAAAAAATTGACTTGGACTAATTCTTTAGGTAGTTTGTGATGTATGTTAAAGTGTGCCCCCTAAAAGTACAAGCGGCGTCTGCCCGTCCACCCAGTTACTCTGTTCTGGAACAACCAGTTGGCTTATTATATATATGGTACAGTATCTACAAAAATTACGGTCTCATTATTTGGAAAAGTCTCATGTTTTAATTTAAACGTTAACTTTTCTTTTGTATACATTTATTATAAGGCTAAAAGAATCTTTTTGAAGCCAAATGTGAAGAATTAAAAGAGTTTATTTCTATTGCCTATATCAAGTAATAAAACGATGTATGCATTCATTTTCTTTTCAGCTTAGTCCCTTTATTAATCCGGGGTTGCCACAGCGGAATGAACCGCCAACCTAACATATGATTTACACAGCGGATGCCTTTCCAGCTGCAACCCATCACTGGGAAACACCCATACACACTCATTCACATTCATATATGGACAATTTACCTTCACCAATTCACCTACAGTGCATGTCTTTAGACATGTTGGGGAAACTGGAGCACCCGGAGGACGCCCACGCCAACACTGGGAGAACATGCAAACTCCACACAGAAAGGCCAACTGGCCCAGCCACAGCTTGAACCAGCTACTGAGGAAACGGCGTTAGCAACTGCACCACTGCGCCGCCCCATAATTATTTATTGATCGGCTAAATAAAATTTGTTTTCAGACAAAGCATTTAGAAAAGTAATTTAAATTAAATAGTGATTAATGACCTTTTTTCTTTTTACTTAGTAATTCACAAAGATTTGCTGCTCACCGTGAGTCTTCTGGCAAAATGAACAGATGTTTACACACTCTCTGTGTCATGTATTGGGTGATATACTGTACATTTACACAGTGTAATAAATAAGATGACACTAATCCGACTTAAAGTCGGTTTAATGAATGGTTGTTGAGAAGATGAACATTCTTTAGCTTTCTTTGTTAGCAGAGTCACAGCTTGTACATCAACAACCCACTCCTTCAGGGGAGAAAATTAGGTAAAGAAGTATATCTCGCATTAATAATTAGATACAGAATGACAGCATTTTAATTTCCGGACTTAAAAAACAATCAAACTTCAGCCTAAATTCTCTTGGCGATTCCAAAATGTCAGTGTTATGGCGCCCTCCAGCGGGCAGCGCATGTAAGCGATTGTTTGTGCTGTTTCATAACACCTGTTATAAAATTTCGACTGCTGATACTGTACATCCAGCATAACACAAGCCAACATTATTATAGACGAACGTATTATTTCATTTGAATACCGAATGGTATTTTTCTTCAGTTATAATAACATCTATCAAAAAGATTATAACAAATTATTTGTTTATTTTATAAAGCTAAGTGCAATATATGATAATCTGGTTCCACTTTACTAAATAATAATGTATTATTTAGATACTTTTTAAAGAAAGCAATGTGAAAGCATGCATTATTTTGCGTTTATTTATTTAATATTTAATTGTTTAAGATGGCGGTGCATTCCGCTGGGGCGACCCCATTATAAGGGACTAGCCTAAAAGAAAATGAATGAACAAATGGATTGTTTAAAATAAGATAAGCTTAGGATTGTGATATTATTATATTTAATATATTTTCCTTAACACTAAAAATAACAGAATGCCTGACCTATGAGCCTTAGCATAAACATAATCAGAAATAATCAGCCGGTCACACACACAAGAATGTAGCTTTGTTTAGGAAGCACTAAGTTAGCCCTGTTTTGTTTACTGTTATTAGAAAGGCTGCAAGAATTAGGCGAATTTCCATTGGCTCCGCTTTCTCATTGAGTGTCCTCATTGGCTGATGAAAACAACAAGCTTTTTCTGATTGGACGAAGGAGTCAGCGCTTAGTCCACCCTGGACTGCCATTGGCCGAATAAGTAGGTTAGTGGTCCGCTAGTTATTAGAGCGAGAGGAAAGTAGGTCATAGCGAATGTATAGTGATACTGGTCATCGCCGTCCATATTCGCCTGGTTATACATGTGCTTCCCTGCCTTCTTCATGTAAGTAAGACATGCTTGATTTCTAGATCAGCTGAACGCTGCTGTATGTTGTAATTATGGCGGTACTACAGTCGCTAATGTACAACATGCTATTCAGGTCACCAAGACGAGGATTTAAGTTTTTAAATATCTCGGCAGGGCGTGGAATGGAATGTGTGCCATTGTGCCTGAAATATCGATACTACTGAAATAAAATTAGCTGCGCACTCGAACACGGTTGTTTGAGGGCAATATGAATGTCTACTTTATTGCACATCATAACGCTGAGTGACTGTTTCATATATATATATATATATATATATATATATATATATATATATATATATATATATATATATATAAGCGCAAAATTTGCATATAAACAGATTACGGTGCACGTGTTTGAGTTGTGCTGCGTGTTGGTCAGTTCGTGATCACCATCATCATCATCATCATCCCACTGTGACTGTATGCGCGACACGTCCCGGTGCAGTGTGGCAGGACACTGTGTTGGCTTTCATGCCCTTTTCTGAGGTAAACAGAAGCTGTATGTCGAATCCCAAATAATCTGGCTGCCTGTCAGCATTTTATAGCCTACCAGTATTGACGACTGCATCATTATTAGCATCACTTCAGCATCATTATCCATCAGATTCGTGCAGCTGTTTTGGCCATTAATCACTTCCAAAATAAAAGTTTGTATTTACGTAATGAATGTGCACTCATTGTGTAGACAAATTGTGTGTGTGTGTGTATAAACTAAAATATTTACATGCATATTTATATTTATGTCTAATTTGCCTAATTAATTAAATGTTTAATTTATAAATGTAAATAAACATACATGTATATATTTATATTCTTTCATTTATTCATTTTCTTTTCGGCTTAGTCCATTTACTAATCTGGGGTCGCCACAGCGACTCGGTCAGCGAGCGTTTCTGTGTGGAGTTTGCTTGTTCTCCCTGTGTTCGCGTAGGTTTCCTCCGGGAGATCCGGTTTCCCCCACAAGTCCAAAGACATGTGGTACAGGTGAATGGGGTATATGCCGAAGCATGCTAATAGGACTTTTAATTTGCCAGTAACCTGGGTTAAGCGCTTCCAGCGAATTGAATGCCAATGCAAAATCCAGTGCGTCTGTTTTCTTTAAACATCAGCGATCTCCACTAGCTGAGTGATATCCGATTTAAAGTGGGTCTCAGATTGTACAAGAAGCACTGCATTAAATTACCTTTCCCCCGCCATATCTTTATAATATGAGCATTTATTTTACCCCAGTATATTCAATGGAGCTTCTGCGTTAGCCTGCCAATGACGGGCGCGTGCGAGTAAACGGCTTTTTGTCTCGTTTTACGCTTGAGCAACTAAATAAATGCTAGTTTATTTAACTGAATGTATTTTAATGACATTACAACATCGATGCTGTATAAGGAACCGTATTAAATGGAAAAAAGTTCACAATAACAGGTCACTGGAAGTGTATCAGCATGGGAACAGCACTAGCTCGGCATATCCCCTATTGGATAGGCTAAATTGTCCGTAGTGTATGTGTGTGAATGAGTGTGAATGGGTGTTTCCAAGTATTGGGTTGCAGCTGGAAAAACATCCACTGCGTAAAACATATGCTGGATAATTTTGAGGTTCATTCCCCTGTGGCGACCCCAGATTAATAAAGGGACTAAGTCGAAAAGAAACATACTAATATATATATATATATATATATATATATATATATATATATATATATATATATATATATATATATATATATATATATATGCATATACTACTATCGCGGGTTTATTTTTGCAATAAATTTCGCAGCCCTAGATTGTTATATACTACATGTGCACGCTATTAAACTATATGTGCACACAGCAGTTTTACTGTCATGGATGCTGTAAAATGTAGATAGACATAGGTATTGTGTATTTAAATAGGATTATTTCTAGCTTTTTGTGAACCAAAAGGATAAAGTATGGACAGTTTAGTTAAGGTGTTTACTGTATATTTTTACATCCGGGTGTGTTTGTTTTGAATGAGTGTTTATAATGTAGATTGTGTTACAAGGAACTAACTCATAAAATAAAAGAAACTTGTTGTCCAAAAGAGACATTATGCTTTTGTTATTAATTCAGGTCAGACCTGCAGATGGTAATCTGGACAATAATCATCTGGAGATTCACTTCACTGCCTGGCAGGAACTACTGAATACTATTGCAGTTATTTTTGGTTGAACATTTGTAAAAAAAAAAAAAGTGACATTATCATATATTAATTCACACACTGAAAAGCGTTTTCTGTTGAACATCACTGCACTATCAAACGTGTAGAAAAAAAGTGTAATAACAGTGTATAATACATTTATTTAAAACAGAATTATATTTGATAACATTATATAATTCTACTGTCAATTTTTAATGCTTTAATGCACAATTTAATGCATTCTTCATGATTGAAAGCATTGTTTTGAACTGATCTTCAATGAACTCCTGCGTGGTAATTCATATGTATGGGTAAAAAAGTAGTGACTAAAAATGTAACTAAGTTAAAACATTTAGAGGTTGATATTTGAGCTTTACCATTGGTTTGTGTTGCTCATAAAAAAAAAACAGACATTAAAATGTTGCTTAGAATTATAGTTTAACAAACTTCATCCAAAGCTGAAATTTCTGTCATCATTTACTAACGTGTCACCAAACTTTAGAAGTTTCTTAGGTTTTCAGTTTTCTTCAAACTATCTTCTATTGTGTTCAACATGATAAAGAAACTCATAAATGCTTAAAATCCCTTCAGGGCTCAATGATAAGGACTGCCTGATGGCCCGGGGCCAGCATGTGATACGCTCGGAACTAGGGATGCAAAAATACAGTTAGCCCACAGTTCATTACATGTTTCCAGTTCGGTTCTTATGGCTTGACATGTGTTTATTTTTTTTATTCTATAGGCAATAAGAACAGTAAGAGGTTAAGGAGAAAAAAATATATATTTATTGCACTACTCATTTTGTTTTACTTAAAAGCCAAGAAAAGTACACTAGTTCCTAGTGTATTGTATAAAACAAAATTACCACTGAAATCTCACAGCTGCTGGTAGCCCATGTACGAACTTGGGAACACATAAAATCCTACACTTCGAATATAAGCATACATGTGAAGTTAATAAAGATAACTTAACATATTAAAAATAAACATATTTGTACTTCAGTAAACATAAATAAACCATCTTAATTATCTCGGTGCTGAAAAAATGCGAGACTGTGGTAACGCGGATCGAGTGCTTTTTATAAAATGACAAAAGCCCACATCTCCAATCACTGAAAACGGCTGCAAATCTTTAGCAATAAACACCCGCACTGCCTTTGTTATTTTTATGTGTCTCTCGGAACCAGTGGGTTATGTTTGCTTGAAAGATTCAGCGAGGGATTGTTGCTATTTGGAGGACTTTATTACCTTCTCTGCTATTCTGCCTTCAGACAGTGATATTGCTGGGTGATGGCGCTGCAGATGTGCAGTCATGGTTACAAGTGTAAAACAATGCTTGCACACAATTATTTTTTGTTATCCATTTTGGCCTTCCATCTTCACCAAACAGATGCTTTTGGCAACAAAAATGTATCTTTGAAAACACTCCAAAGTGGATAAAGTTGAAAATGCCATTGTCGAGTCACAGTGTGGACACTGAAAATGGGCCCTGGTAAAAAAAGATTATGTGTAAATAAATAAATAATTAAAACATTTGGATGGTAGGGTCGGAATTTGAAATAGTGGTAGATACGATATATCTACAAGATATTAGCATCGGCATAGCTTTTAAAAAAAAACCATAACTGTTGATCACTAGTTAGAAATGTCGTATTGGAGTTATACAACAAGTTTCTTTTTATTTAATTTCAATAAAATACGGTCCAGATCCCACTGATTTTGATGCTGCGTTCACATCAGATGTGGATAAAGCTTCAAGCGCGAGTGATGATTTACATGTTAAGTAAAGGTGTCACGATCCTCCAAATCCTCGATTCGATTACATTTTCGATTCTAAAGGCACGATTCGATTCGATTTTCGATTATGAATAATTAATTAATTAATGACCAATTAACTATTTGTAGCCTACCGTTTAAACTACCTGACCTGCATGGTCTTTGTTTTACCCATAAACAAATCATACAGTAAATGAATAAAGGCAAGATACACGCATAATTACCACCTGTCAATCACTTTTTTCTGCGGGACTCGTGAATAGGCAGTGATCTGTGTCGTTATAATGGCGGCGGTAAAAAAGACGCACAACCAACAGGAACCAGCCAACAGTATCTGAGGTGTTCGCTAAAATGACTAAGTACAAGTGAGTGAAAGATTGAAGCAGTCCTCTGACTGCCTGGACCTGCTGTCTCGAGCGTGTACAAAGACAGTGTCAACAGGGCCTGAGTGTGTACTTTTCGCGAGCGGATTTGCAACGGGGGCGGGCGGAGGATCACCATGCCGGTGTTGTCTATCGGATGAACCGTATGTAATACGTACATAGCAGAGCTTGCAAAACTGTTTTTTTTTGTCGACAACACGAACGTTGTCAACATAACTCACTGGAAATCCAAAATGCTTACACACCGGCGTCTTCATTGAAAGAGGAGAGGGTTTAAGTTCTGTCGACGGGTCTCCTGCTTCTGCAGTTTAACAAGCACTTCAACAAGCCTGTTTTTTTCCCGCTTGGCAAGCCAAGCTGACGTGACATGGGGGCGTGGCAGCATCGACGATTCTATTTTTTGATTCGATAATCGAAATTGAGCATAAATTTCGATCGATTTCGATTAAAAATCGAAATCGTGACACCCCTAATGTTAAGTCAATGCAAAGACGTGAATAGACATCCTGCGGCATGATACGCAGTATCAAGGTGGCACCAATGAAGCAGCGTGAGTTGAGCATTTTGCGCATTTAACAAACTTACCGCGTTTCGTGCAAATCGCTCAAGAAGGTCGAAAATCGGACGTTCATCGGACATTCGTGCCGCATTAACTAAT